GGCAGTCTGGTTTAGTCGCCCGGGGATGGCAGGGCACCTGCTACCAACAGTCCCTTGCACACTCGAGTTCTCCTGGGCCTGCCTCTGCCCATGGAAGAGGCGGTGCTCTTACTGTCCGCCCCACCCCGATCCAGGAAATCCGTGGAGCCCTCCATCTTCAGCATCACTTTGTGGATGGGGCTCAGCATCCCCGTTTCAACTTTCAGCTTCAAAGGATGTGGGGTGTTTGGGGCAACAAGAATTTATCTGGTTGGCTTCTCTTGGCAACAGGGTCCATCTATTGTTGGACAGTAGTGTCCCTAGGGTAGAGGGTGACATCCTCCCCAGTTGTGGGGCTGAGTTCTGCTGCACTGGGTGCCCCCTTTGGGAGGGTCATGGGACAGCTTACCAAGCCTGGGAAGAGCCCTGTTCCCTACAGGGTTAATGCAGGAGAGGCCCTCTCGGCCCCAGCCCTCCCCAGGTCAGAGCTTGGCCATCTGTGCCTCTGACTCCCTGCTCCCAGAGCGCCCAGTCACTGCACCATCATCGCTCATTACCCTGGGCCCCAGAGTCTGGGCTGTGAGAGAGCCAGTAGTGCAGGACAAAATTAATTACTTTGTTTGCTAGTCTCAGATGAGGGATGGAGGGGCATTGTCACAGAGCTTGATTTTGGGGAAGTGTTTGATGCATCATCTCGTAAAATCTTGCTCACCAAATTAATTCCGATGGTCAGGTGGCTTGGAAACCGGCCATTGACCCAAGCAAAAGTCAGCAACGGGTGATAATGGATCTGTTAGGGAGGAGGCTCCGGGAAGAGGCTGCTGCGGGGCCCAGAGGCAAGGTGGTTCTTAATTAAACTCTTGTCTGATGAGCAGGGTCACCAGCCCATCGATAACTGATGACAAGTGAATACAGGTGAGGCACCGGCTGGAAGGAAAATCAGGGGCAGTGAGTTCTGAGTGGATGGTAATTCTCTTAAAGCCCTGGGCCTCAGCTTGCCTTCCTTGTTCTTTGTGTATAAGTTTTTCTCTGGGGCTAGATGCTTCTATTGTGCGTTTCTGGTAGGGCGCTGTGTACAGTTGCACAGGTTGTGTGCATTGCCCTCTTACTGGGACCCGTGCAGCACAGTGTCGCTGTCTCTGGGAACACACACTGGGTTGCGTGTGTGTACTTTGGAGTTTACATGTCTGTGTGTTGGTTGCAAATGCTCCTGGGTATGTTACTTGTTGCCTGGTGCTGGAATCTTTTCGTTAAGGCCACTCAGAGCCATTCCACTTTGGACAGCAACCTCTGAGCCCCAGGTTCCTCAGCTGTAGCTTGGAGATAATAGCAATACCAACTCTGTATGTTGCTGTAAATATTAAATGAGATCATGAATGCAAAAGTGCTCAACACAGTATTCTGTGCTTAGTCAGCTCTGGGGGATTGGCAGCTGTTGACGTGGTTGTGGTGCGGGAGGCAGGCAGGTGTGAGAAGAGGAGAGCAGCTGGCCTGTGGAAGGAGTAAGGGCCATCTCTCCCTCCAGCAAGAGGAGAAGGTGCCCTGTGCCCCAGTGAGGCAGCGGGGAGGGAAGTGGCAGTCGGGGACAGAGCCCAGGAGCACGGTCCCTCTGGTCAGAGAGCTGGAGGAATCCCAGGGGCCCTTTCTCCTCCTGTGGGGCTCAGTGGGTGGGGGTGGGGGGAGAAGGAGCTGAAGCTGGGACACCCCTGGGAGAGCAGGATGTCCCCCCTTCCAGGTGTCCCAGGCCCCTCCCCCCACAACTTATAATAAGGAGATAATGCTATTTCTTATTCTCTATTTGCCCGGAATGCCTGTTATTTTCTTTCAGAATCCAATTTTCTCTTGACATTTCTGCCTAATGTAGCAAAACATGACCTTTGTGAAAGGACATTGCTGGCAGCCTGCTCCCTGCCTTGGGCTCCCCAAGAACCGCTGGCACGCTCCCTGGCTGCTCCTCCCTCGGAGATGGGCGAGGGTGCCCCCTTGCCCTGGACTACTCCCGTCTCCAGCTTCTTCTTCCTGCCGACAGGTTGCCTGTTTCCCAGGGCTCAGTGCATCTGGGGCTTCCAGCTGCTGACTCCCACAGGATGCTGCTGCTCAGCTTTAGAACTGCGGGTTTTGTTCAAGGCAGCGCTGGGGTGGGGTGGAGAGCTCACGGTGGGCTGGGCCGTGTCTGACTTCTGCTGCCATTGATGATGCGGTTGTGCATAGGCAGCAAATTAGGAAAAGCAAAATGAAACAGAGACTTCTGCCTGGATGAAGCAAACACTCACATTTACTGAAACGTCTTGAAGGAGAATGGTGATGGAGGCTCATAAGGCGGTACCGAAACTTGTTGCCCTTGACCCCAAGTTCCGAGCTCGAGGTCCACTACGTAGTATAAGGTCAGCCATTCGGTGGGGGGATGTGTCTGACCCCCTGTTCCACCCTCTCAAGGAGGAGGGGGGTGCCTGCTGGGAGCTGTGCCCCAACAGTGTCCTCAAGTGGTCATCACACACTTCCTTCCTCACCTCTGTCCTGATGAGTGGGCGATGGAGGAAGTTTGTCGGAATAAGATGCACGGTTGTAAGCGGTTTTGTGAAGCTGCGAGTGCGGATGGGTTAAGGTTTCTAGACTTTCAGTGAGAGCCTGTGTGGTCATTCATACCAGTGCCCTCCAGCCCTGCCGAGAGGAAGAGGTGGGAGTGTGGGGTTTGCGGGGCTATCCTAGAGAGGGCTGTGTGGGCTTAAGGACTCTGAAAGGAGAGCGTGCTGGGTGCAGGGGAGGGAGCAGAGCAATAAACGTGGGGGTCACCTACCTGTGGCTCTCTTCCATTCTCTGCAGTCCCCTGTACCCTCAGAATGGGGGCTGCCTCCCCCGCACAGTCACAGGCTGTCACCAAAGACAGGGCTGCCTCAGATACAAGGCTGTGCTTGTATTTGAGTACCTGTTCCTCCAATGAGCTGTGTTTACTCTATGTGGTCTCACCCGGCCTGAACTTCTCCCCTGAGCTCTAGACCCAGGCATCTAGCATGCTGCCGGCTTTCTCTCTTTGGATGGCTAACAGGCATCTCAAACTTAGTATTTGCAAGGGAGAGGCTCTTGGTTGCCACCTCCCCACCAAATGTGACCCTTTTGCAGCCTTCGTCAGCTCGCTAAATGACGTCACCCCTCACCTGGTTGCTCAAGTGTCTTTCCCTCCTTCTCCCAGATCCCATCCAATAGGAAGTTCACCACCTCGCTTGAATCCATCTGCTTAATTCTCTCTCCTCCCTCTTCTCGCCTGGAATACTGCAGCTGCCTCCTAATTGGTCTGCCGGCTTCCAGGCTTGGCCTCATATTTTTAAAAACGATAATTAGATTATGCCACTTCCCTACTTAAAACCATCCAACGCCTTCCCATTGCTCCTTAAAATCCAAACCCCTTACCATGGCCGGCAAGGTGGGAGTGGCCTGTCCCCTCTCCTGCTTACCCCAGACCGCTGTCGCCTCCTTCCTTCCTCACTGGCCTCCTTTCTGGTCCCTGGTCCCTCCCAGGTCTTTGCACTTGCTACTTCCACTGCCTTGAACACTGCTCCCCTGGCACTCGGCTCCTTCTCTCTCTTCTTGTCCCTGCTCCAGTGTCACCTTCTCAGGTGCACTTCGCTGAGCACCTGGCCCTCTCAAAGTAGCCCTCTCGCTCTCCCACATCAGTTCCCTGCGTCATTTTGTTTATACCCCTCCTTCTGCCCATCACAAATGGCAATTCTCTTGTTTGTTCATTTGTAACTTGAATATAAGTCCCAGAGGGACCTTATCAATTGTCCACCCCCTCATTCCACAGTGTAGGCTGTATTTGGCTCTCAACAAATATTCGTTGTAGAAGTCATCTAAATATAGATGCACCTGTAGGCATATGCGTGTGCATGTAAACAAGAGGCTGTGTTTGCATTTATTACCTACATGTTTAATAGACACAAATACACACATGCTTGTGTGTGTGTGGATAGATAGTTACCTAAGTGGGATGCTTCCTGCGTCCGTTCTCCTCAGTAGATGAGTCCCTTGTTCCTGGGGTGCCACTTCATTCCAGCCACGTGAACTGTTGCCTTTAAGGGCTGTTATCACATCAAAAGTTGTTTGTTGATCCTGGCAAAGTAATAGCTGTGGGTGTGTTTCTTCTTTTATTCAGAAGGCTAATGGCGACTCCTTTCCTCTGTACATCCTAATGAAAACAATTAAAGAGCCATTAGGAGGGGAGCAGAAGTGTGAACAAAAGGCTGATGACTTGATCACTGCTGGGCATGTTTGCTGGGGGAGGGACCAGCTGGAAGGAATGTAGGTGACCTGCGGAGTTTTTTCAAGCTGTGTGACTAAGATTGCTTGTTGGTAAAGGGTACATAGTTTCAGTTATGCAAGATGAATAAGTCCTAGAGATCTACAGTACAGCAGACTGCATAATTCACAATACTGTATTGTATGCTTAAAAATTTGCTAAGAGGGTAGCCTATGTTAAATGTTCTTATCACACACACAAAAAAACAAGAGGTGATGGTTAGAGGTTAGATGGTTAGAGGTGATGGTTAAGTTTATGGCATCATTTTTGGTGATGGTTTCACAGATGTATACTTACCTTCGGACTCAGCAAGACGTCTACATTAAAGATGCACAGCTTTTTTGTACATCGAGTCTACCTCAATAATAATAATAAAAAGGAATAACTTTTTGGCTTGTGTACCCTGAGAGCTCTCTGTCCCCCTGTAGGAGAAGAGCTTCAGAAAGCCTCCCTGAACTTTTGGTATGGTGAGAGGATATGGGAGAATGACCAGGAAAACTCTGTTGTTTGTTTTGATTTGTAAAACCTTGTCTTTAAAAGGTCTCAGAATCTTCTCCAAACCTCATCTGTGGCCTCCACTACTGGCAGATGTATGGATAGCAGAATGGAGCAAAGGAGAAGACGAAGAACAAAGCCAGGCTCCTGTGAAATGACGGAGCTTACTACCGAGAGCATTACTTATGCCAGATGCGTCCTTTAATTTCCCCTTTATTTGTCCATCTTGCAGAAATCTGTCCAGTAACCGGCTCACCACACTGTCATGGCAGCTCTTCCAGACGCTGAGTCTTCGGGAATTGTAAGTTTGGTTTGAAGACCTTCCAAGTAGTGGAGTTATGGTAGAGGTTGGTGGGGAGAAGTCTCGGGCAGTGGGGCCCCCTGAGGCTGGGCCTATGCGTGAAGGGGCTCCTTGGGTTGGATGACATGAGGTGTACCATGTTCAGTGAGAGCGGGCCATCCTGTTGCTTGATTTCTGATGCTTTTTCTGGGCACAATACGTTTCAGAAGATGGGAATCTCATCTCTGAGCAGGACCTAGTTTTGTGGTCTGTAGGTAATTAGTAATAATAGTATTGATATTTGTAATAATAAAGAGTATTTATCAATTTACAAGAACATTCATAATATTAACTTTGTAGATGATCAGGTGTGCTTTCATTTATATGGCCTTAGACTTATCATCACAAGCATCACGAGTGGTAGGTATTATTATACCTCCAATATAAAATGTATTCCTACATTTTAAGGTGAGGGGTCTGAGCCCCTGAAAGGCATGTGAGATGCAGCTAAGATCACATTGTTAGGGATTGGCAGAGATAAGACTTGAACCCAGGCCTCTGACTTCAGATTGCGGGTCCTTTCCACCATTCTCAATCTCCTGTCAGCCTATTTGGCTTGAGTATGGGCATCCCAGGGGACCAAGACCATATATTTATTCAATCCGCCTGTGGGCTGCTTAGCTTTGCTGCAGTCTGAGGCTGATCAGTGTACCCCTATCCCAGACAGCCATTTTGCACAAACACATGTTGGATGGATAAGTGAAAATTCGAGACCACTGCTGGAAAAAAAATAGCTCATGTTGATGTGTGAGTCATCAGGGTCATCTCTGTGCATGAAGGACAGCATATTATGTTGAGAAAACAAATCAAGGAATAAATTGAAATGGAATTGAGGCATGGATAAAGTTAGGGAGTCTGCTTCCAGAGACACTGCTCACGTGTTCCCTTTTTACTTGGTGACTCAGGTCCAAATCCACTGAATGCAGATTGCTTTACTATCTTTACCAAGAGGCAGTGACCTGGGATCCCTGCTCATGCTGTTGAACTTTCAACTTGTTCTCCCTCCACCCGGGAAGACCTGAGTTCACAGATGAGTCTAAGCTTACCTTTTCTGACCCAGCTGGTGAGGGAGGGGATATTTACATCCAACGTCCCAATAGCCTATCACCCCACCATGGGCTTGCAAACCATACTTATCCTCATAGGCTAAGTGCCCATCTGATGCTTCAGAGGCCGTTCCAGAGATGAGAAGTACAGAGATTGTCTCTTTGACAGAGTTGGAATGTGTAGGACAATACCGCATGGGTTGCTTTCCTTTCTTAGGATTTTCCCCTCCCACCAGGCTACTCCTCTGGTCTGGGCACAATAGGCATAATGATCAGAGTTCTTTAGTCACTCATGGCTGAGATCCAGACATGCATCAATAAAAACTCCTACTTGAGCTTGGGAAAAGGTAAACATATACTTATTTGTTTATAAAGCACTGAAAGGCCAGCTCTGTCCCAGACATTGAAATGTCAGACTCTTACACTTGGTACCTTGTATTCATTCCCATCTTTGTAGGTGGGAAAGACCTTAGAGGTAAATTAACATGACTGCTATGGTCAGCAAACACTGATTTCTGAGATTTACTCTGTGCCAGGCACTGTGCCAAGCAATCTGTAGAATTATGAACATTATTTAGTTTAATCCTTATAATAATTCTATAAGGCAGGAATTATTACTATCACTTCGCATTCGGGGACACCGAGGTACTTAGCAAGGTTAAGTGTCTCGTTTAAGGTCACCCATAAAATAAGTGGTAGCATATGCACTCAAGGTCATGACCACTCTGCTCAGCTCTCTCCCAGCTTCTTCAATCTGTTTCCAATTCAAGGATCTGTCCTTCAATAATTTTCGAAAAGTGCATGATTGTGGTTCTTCCTTACATTGCCCAAGCACTGATCAGGGCTATGCCATAAAGGAGCTAATTGGGGCCTGTCTCTCTTGGGAGTCTCGCATCCAGTTCTCCTGGAATGCCTGTGCTTCATCTGTGGGAGGCCAGGAATGGCGTCTCTCCAGGAGACATCTGGGGTCTGCAGTTGGCTGAATTATGGAGAAAATGTTCAGAGCTCCTTCTAAAAAATCACTGGCTATGAAATCAATGGTGTGCTGCCCTGGTGACCTGTTTCATGGAGTTTTAGAAACAGTTGTTCCGTGGATATATATTTAAAGAAAATGTCAGATTTCTCCCAGAGGATCATGGGATTCTGCATTCATCTTTGCCTGGGATCGATGCACCGGTGAGCTAGATGTGACTTATGGAGGAATGAAGACATTCCCTCCGGTGTGAGTCAGTTGTGAGAGCCACCATGTCCACGGAGTATTTTATTTCTGTCATATTGTTAAATAAGAAAAAAATTATATTGGGAAATAAAGAAGGCCCCCTCTGAGAAGCAATCGCCCCGGGAGGGGTCTATTTTTTGAGGAAGAATTGAATGTTGAGAGTGGAAAATTTATCTTTTGGCTCGAAGGACTGCATGTTGGCTCTTTGCTGTGGCTATGATTAAAATCCAAACAATCCCCATTCCTGGCAAATGGAAGAAGGGGTTGTATTTTCTTGTCCGATTTCCTGATTAGTCCACATGGCGCCATCTGCCACGAGCCATCTAGACTGCCAGGGTCTGCCCACTGGAGGCTGTGGGCTGGAGGGTGGGATGCGTCGGGTATTTCCAGGAAGAAGGAGTTTTGGCCCCGGAGGAAAGAGGCTGTGGCAGCCAGAAGATCACAAAGCCAAGAGTGTGAGGCTTTGAGCAACCTTCTGCAGAAAAGAGGGGCAAACTAGGGCATTCAATGATTTGTTAGCACATTTCATTCTGTCACTGAGGACCTCTGCCTACCCCAACCAGTTCCTCCCCAGTTAGAGGATCCTTGCCATAGGAACTGATGCTGTTGGGATTCCCCATTGGAAGGGCTGAATGGCTACAACTTTTCCAGTAGTAGAGAAGGAGAAGGAAGAGGCATATCTTGAGCTCCTAATATGAACGAGGTCCTGTTTCATCCTTGGGACAATCTCACGAGGAAGGTATCTTTACAGCCAGTTTTACAAATGAGGGAATTGAGACTTGGCCAAGTTAAACAACTGGTCCGAGACCACAGAGCTCGTAAATGGTAACTCTGGCAATTAGTATTGTGATTATTAGCGTTCCCCCATCCAGGTTTGCGGTTTCCCAAGACCAATGCTCTTTCCTAAAACAACGCAGCAAAACCCCCCACATGCTTAGCATCTCCTTCCAGAAACCACTCTCAGGATGGTGGCTCCCTGAGTGGAATCACAGGGCAAAAACACCTAAACGAGTTAGCATCTCCGAGTCCTTGTCATGTGCTCAAGGCTTCCTGTTCTCATTTCTCGTTTACTTTTGTGAGTTGAAGGATACGGTCATGGCCGAACACCTGGCCTACGACCCCGCATTGGTCCAGGTTGTGTTTCTCTTACTGAGAGAACTGGAAGCACCTTTGAAGACTTGCTTAGGAGTAGCCAGTGCTATTTCATTGGCGTGGGTTTGAAGAAATTCGAGCTGGCATTGCACAGTGCTCTCAGAAGTTTCTAGTTATGGCAAGATGGTGTTTTTTTCCTTACAGAGAAGATTGGAACTGTCTGTCCAGAAATCAGAGCAAGAATCAAAGAGATTGTCTTAGAGATAAAAATGAATTAGAAAGGAAGGAAGCTTGGATTCTGAATCCCGTGATACAATTTAGGCAAAGGCAAGAGGCAACAGACGATATAAACCCACAGCACAGAAACCTTCCAGAAATACCCGAAGGGCCATTAGTGTATCTTGAACAGGCTTCTCTTAATACCCTGCATGCACAAAGCAGACATGATTAAAATAGATTGGAATATTTCATTTTCTTAAAGCAAAGTGATAATTACCTCTAGTGTAATTTGCAGATTTAATAGACTTGGTAAAATATTAACTCAGTATTGGGATGAGTTTAGGCCGATCCTGGCAATTTCCTTCTCCCAGTCCTGGCCATGACCACTTTCCATGGCTCTCAGAGAAGTCACTAAACAATCATATTAATAATAGCATTACTATAATAATAATTTCGGGCCTCTTGATAGACCCTTTTATTTCACAAGGCATGTTAACATATATTATCACTAATCCTTGTAATAACTCAGTGAAGAAAGAAGGTCAAGCACAGTTACCCCCATTTCACAGAAGGTAACTCAGAGCCTTGGAGAACTAGGTTATTTGCTGTGTTAGTTTCCTGGGGCTGTCTAAACAAGTTATTGCAAATTTGGTGGCTTAAAGCAACAGAAAATGATTCTCTCTCTGTTCTGGAGGCCAGAAGTTGAAATCCAGTTGCCGTTAGGGCCAGACTCCCTTCAGAGGCTCTCGAGAGGAGCCCTTGCTTTTCTTTCCCAGCTTCTGGTGGCTCCTAGGGCTCCTTGGCTTCTGGCCGCGTCACTCCAGTCTCTGCTTCCACCTTCCATGGCTGTCTTCCCTGTCTCTTTGACTTTGATCTCTCCCTTCTTTCTCTTATAAGGACACCAGTCATTGGATTTGGGGCCCACCTGAATCCAGAAGGATCTCTTCCCAAGATCCTTAACTTGATTACATCCGCAAAGACTCTCTTTCCAAACAAGGTCACATTCACAGGTCCTGGGGAGTGAGGACTTGGACATATCTTTTTAGGGGACACAATTCAGCCTACTGTATTTGCCCAAGGTGACACAGCTGGTTTGACTCAGATCATTTGTTCGAGTACTTTCTCTACCATCGGACTGTGGTTCTCTCCAGGATGCCCGAGCTGATTACTTGGTCCTTTGGGTGTGCTTTCCTCTGCAACAGTAGATCTGGGTCCCTTGCCCAATTTCCACTGCCTGGCCCCAGGATTGCCACTGGCAGCACTGATGCTGTGGAGAGGAGAGGAAAACCAGGGCAATGACTGGAGGGGAATCAGTGTTTTCTGAACATCCAGCCATGGGCTTGGCTGTGTAGCAGTGTCTGTGCACATGTCCCGATGGGGCTGAGTTAATCTGTGGGAAGCCCCCAGGGCCTTGTGATTAGGCCCCGGGCCATCTTGGGGCGAGGGCTGGGTGTTGGTAAGCTTCGCCCTGAAGCAGCTGCTGCTGTATTATTCATGGGGCCTCTTGCATTATTGATGGAGTAGGGAAAGCCTTGCTTTAGGCTCTGGAGTCTGCCCCTGGAGCCCTGGCAAAGGCTCCGTCCACTGCTCGAGACCAGATTTGATGGGAGGAGGGAGAGCATCATTTAGACCCAGGGCTTGCCCTTCTTTGCTTCTGGCCCACCTCACTGTTTGAATCCTCTCTGGTCAGGATATGAAGACAATGGTGGATTTGCTCAATAGGAAGCCCAGGGTACCACTGTGTTGAGACTCAAAATGTTTTCTGCTGTGTGTTACTTGCTTTCTGGGAGGAAAGTCCGAAGGGAGTGGGGAAAAACTCAAGGCTCTTTTGCAGTTTCTAGGAGACTCTGGATTGGAGCAAAGGACCAGGTCTCCTGGTGCATCCCTTCTGTTGGGTCAGGTCCTGGAGGAAAACGATGGAAGGAAGCAAAAAAGCCGTTAAAGTGTGTCTGGCAGTGTCTTAGGCACGTCCCAGATAGCTCATCAGATTTTCCCACCAGCCTCGGGACCCTTTGACACTGTCTGCCTTTTGGGCGGCCCTGAGGTGTTGGGGTACGTAGCAGTGCAGGAGGCAGGACTGGGTAGAGTGTCTGTGGCTTGAAGCAGCCCAGCCAAGCCCCTCACTTTGTTAGTCTTTTCCACCCAGGTGGATAATTTGTATTTTTATGACTACTTAATAATGAATGACCACATCTTGTCGAGTGAGCAGCTGGGAAAAACCAGGCTGGTCTGGTTCAGTTCGAATCTCTTCAAGCATCTGGACCCTCAGTACCATTCCAGCTCAGCTGCCAGACCTCTCCTCGCAGCCCCTGTGACCGGAATCCAAACTCCTGCCCCACCTCCTCCGGCCTCCCTTCCCCTCCCGGTCCCGCACAGGCTGGGCAGCTAATTCGACCTTCTGCTTTTCCTAAGGAAGCCGTCAGATGTCCCCTGCCCTGTGCTCCCTCTTGTTGTGAGGGTTAAATGGGGTGTTGCTTGTAAGGCATTCACCATAGTGCTGGGCACCTGGTAAGTGTGATGCAAATGTTATTCTCATGTTATTTTTGTTGTTTCATTCTCATGTCCTCCTATCTACCTTCTTTCCTTTCTCTCTCCTATTTCTTAAGCCCCTGCAAACACCTCCAAGGCTTCTGGACCCCATCCTTCCTTTTCCTCCCCCAGGACCTTGATCTCTTCCTCCTCATCCCTCAGCCCTGCCCAGCCTTGTTCCTAATGTTGAACCTCTTCCTTTCCATTTTCTTCTGTTCTCAACCAAAGGCTCTTCTCTCCTCCACTGATTTCCTGTCTTCTGGGGCTTAAAACCTTGGGCTCATCTTCTACTCTTCCTTTTTCTTCGACTTCCAGCTGCGCACCAAACACCACCTTGTCTTCCTCCGTGATCTTTGCCCCGTCTTCCCATTTCCTCTCTCCAATCTTTACTACTCCACTCTAGGCCCTTATCAACTAGGCAGCAGTTCTCAAATGGTGGTCCAGTGTCCCTTGGGGGTCCCCAAGACCCTTTCAGGGGACCACGAGGTAACATCTATTTTCATAATAACACTAAGATGTTATTTGCCCTTCTTGCTCCATTCTCCCACAAGCGTACAGTGGAGTTTTCCAGAGACCGCGGGACATGTGATAACATCATTGGCTCTGATGACTAATGGAGTTTGAGCTAATGCATTCTTGTGTTTTAAAATTTCCTGTTTTAGTTTCTAATATGGTAAATAGTGATAGATATAATCCACATCAAAGAAAGCTCTTTGAGGCCCTCAGTAATTTTTAAGAGTGAAAAAGAGTCCTGCATCCCAAAAGTTGGAGAAACAAGGACCTAGAGCATGCCAGCCTACATGGTGCCTGTATGTGAACGAGAAAAGGCGCCCCCTCTGGGTGGATGTAGCCCCATGACAGGCACCAGGTCTGGTCGGGGTGTGCAGACCGGATTTCATTTCACGTTTATCCCTTTGGCTGGGTGCCTTTGAGGACTGCACGCACTTGATGACCATACACGGTGACCTGTGTTCTTAAGACATCCTGACTGCTGTCCTCTCCAGTGGCTAGCTCTCCTCTTCTCCTGTTTGCCCTGCACCATGTCGTCGTGTTAGTCTTCCTACAGACCTGCTTCGTTCATGTCATTCTCAGCTCTGAGGGCCTCAGCGGTTCCCACTGCCCCCTGATGACTTCCAAACCTCCTGATGTGGCAGTGGGAGTCCTCTGCCATCCGGCTTCCACTACTCCTTCCAGCTTCATTTCCCGGTGCCTGGGCGCAACCTTTCCTTCCTGCTTTCACCCCTCAGCCTACAGCATCCCCTCTCCCTTCTCCCCCGTCTCTTCCTCCGTGCACTCCTGAAGTCAAGGATCCTGCCTTGCCCCTCCTCGCATCTTCCACTGCACCTGAGAGTGCCTTGTGCGTGATAGACGGGGTGGAAAGTACATGGACTTTGGAGTCTAATGGGCTGAGGTTTGAGAACTTGCTTTGTAACACACCAGCCAGGGGACCTTGAACATGTGACTTAACGCCTCCCAACATAAGAGGGCATCCCTCATCTGTATGGGCACAATACTCTGTCTCCTAGGGTAGCTGTGAGAAACAGATGCTCAGTAAAGGTTAGTTCCCTTTCCCTCTTCTGAAAGAGGGTGATGTGCAGAGAGATGTCACAAGCTCCTTAGACTATGAAGTTATAATGCAGGGCTGTTTGCACGTTCTCCCTGCAGTGTCCTAGTGGCTGGGAACACTGACTCCTCCTCCCAGGGGCCTCACTGTTTCCTGAAAGCTGAGTAATTCAGATGTGTGCTTAACTATTTTGGAATTTGCCAGTTGTCAAAAATATCCTGTGTCTTAGTGCAGTTATCCAAGCACTCCTCCCTCTGGGTACCAACAGATGCATCTCCTTGCTGGTCCAGAAAGAGAATCATGTTCTCCCTAGTGATCCAGGCATTCAGACTTATCACGTGCCCTTTAATTTAAGAGTTTTGCATCAGCTAATGCCCTTCCTTGTCCCCCTGATGAGATAACCCCATCTAGAGGGGAGGTGACTCACTCTAAGTCACAAGGAAAATCAGTGGAGAAGGAAGGCCTTGAACTTGAGTCTTTCCCCATCGGGCATTCTTCATCACCAACCTGAGTGCTCCTGGAGAGCAGACACGATCTTATTCATCTCTGCATTGACAGCACTCAGCCCCCAGCCAGACATGGAGCAGGTGCTTATTAAGGATTTTGTTGAATTTATGGAATAAAGCTGGTCTCAAGATGGGCTTTGAGCAGATCTTGGAAACAGCTGACCACCTACTCCCAGGGAGAGTAAACTTTCCTTCCTTCCCTCCTTCCCTCCTTCCTTCCATCCATCCATCCACCCATCCTCCAATCCTTCCTCTAATCATTCAACAAGTATTTTTGCACCAGACTCAGTTGTAGGTACTGCGTATACAGCAATGAACCAAATAGGCAATGTCTCTGACCTCAGTGGAGCTTAATTTTTTTGTTTGGAGACAGATAATAAACAAACAAGCAAATACATATTTGAATTGATGCTGAGTGGTGACAAATATTAGAAAGAAGAAGGGAGTGGGCAGTGTTATGGCAGAGGTTGGTGGTGGCTTTTTTTATAAAGAGTGGTCAGAGAAGATCGTATTATTGAGGGAGCCAGTCTAGCAGATATGTTATGGGTCAGAACTCTGTAGGAAGAAGGGACCACCAGTGCAAAGGTCCTGAGGCAGGAGCATGCTGGTCATCCTAGTGAACTTGACAGACAATAAGGTCAGTGTGGCTGAAGAAGAGGAGGGGAGGGTGAGGTGGGAGAGGAGGTCAGAGAGATAATACAGAGTGACGTGGATCACACAGGCCTTTGACTGTGACTTCCAGTGAGATGGGAAGCCACAGGAGGGGTTTGAGAAGAGCACTCCAAGCTGACGTATTTTAAAGGGTCTCTTTGCCAGGTGAGTTAGGTGGGGTGGATTTCTTTTTTTAAATGAGCTTGTTAGTTTAAAAACTAAATGAACTCATGGACTTACATAGAGATTGTTTTACTTCTTTTGAGACCTTGCTAAACCTCTTCTCTCTTTAATCCCCGAAGAGCAGGTGGGGGCCCCCTTGGCCTCACAGCCCTAGAGCTGGGGAGGGAGCTGGGCTGTCTTCAGTTCAGGAGTCCCCTTCCCTCTCTTCTTGCCCACAGGAGGTTGGAGCAGAACTTCTTCAACTGCAGCTGTGACATCCGCTGGATGCAGCTGTGGCAGGAGCAGGGCGAGGCCAGGCTGAACAGCCAGAACCTCTACTGCGTCGGGGCTGACGGCTCCCAGCTCCCTCTCTTCCGCATGAACATCAGTCAGTGTGGTGAGTGAGCTGCCCAGCCCCAGCAGCCTCCAGGAGGCATGCCTGACATAAGAGATGGGGCTGTGCGTTAGCCAGGAGAGCCGGGGTCTTTGTTTCTCTACCGCCCCCCCAGCCTTGAACTCTCCACTGGGTGCGGGTCTGGCTCACCTTTTGCCTCCTTGCTCACTCTTGTCCTTATGTGAGCCAGTCGTGGGAAGGTTGGTTCTAGGAATACAGAAGGGGGTTAACTGTGCCCCTTCTCATCAGACAGATTCCTTTCTTTCTGTGCGTTGCTTATCAACCAGTCCTGAAGGAGCATATCTCCAGGTGTGGTCTCTGGACCTCCTGGATCGGGAGCATCTAAGGCACTTTTAGAAAAGCAGATTCGTGCACCCAACCACAGACTTACAAGAATGTCTTTCACAGACTTTCTGGGAATGTCTGGGGATGGGTTCCACAGGTCTGAATTTCTAGCAAGTTCCCCATGGGTATCTGAAGCAGGACAAATTTTTGGGAACAAGTGCCCAAAATGGAAGGTGTCATGTGACTTTATTGCTGGACCTGCATGCCTTGAGCAACTGCTCCACCCCCACCCACTCCCTGCCACGTAGGAGAGTCCAACTGCACGGGCTTAAATTCTGAGTTCTGACATCTGCTGGGAGGTGGTATGAAGCTTCTTGGACGTGGGAGCCTTCTGAGAGCTCAAGCAGGTTGTATTGGAGTCTTTATTGGGCAAAGCAAGAAGGGCCACCATGGGCAAAGTTTTGGTAGTAAGCGTTTGCCTATCTTTGCACCCGCCCTGTCCTCCCTCCCAGACCTTCCTGAGATCAGTGTGAGCCATGTCAACCTGACTGTACGAGAGGGTGACAATGCTGTCATCACTTGCAACGGCTCTGGATCGCCCCTGCCTGATGTGGACTGGATAGTCACTGGATTGCAGTCCATCAACACCCACCAGGTAGGTGTCCTAGGGTCCGGTCCCATCAGGAGGTTGGAGAGCCATCACCTCTTAGTCTTAATGAGCTAAATCATGAATTGAAGAAAGAGATGTGAGAATAAGGGCGAAGGAAAGGGAAAGTCTGTGGTCCTATCTCTACAGGAAGAACCATGTAGACTCGGATTCCCTCCAGCTGCAATATTTTCTAGCCATCTTATTAAACATGCTACTAAACTTCTCTGTGCCTTAGTTTCCCCATCTGTAAAATGGGTATAATGCTATCATTCACCCTATAGGGTAAAAGTGAGGATTACCTGAACTGTTGACTATGGGGAGCCTGGAACTTGGTTGGTGTCAGTCCCTGGAAAGGCGTCCTTCGCCTTCTACTCGGCTTTCCTTATTCCTAAAGGTGTTTGGGGGTTAGGTGGGGGAGCCGCCCTTGTAGAAACTGTTTGATTGTTGTCTTTTTATTGGGGTTTTAGACAAATCTGAACTGGACCAATGTACATGCCATCAACCTGACCCTGGTAAATGTGACGAGTGAGGACAATGGCTTCACCCTGACGTGCATTGCAGAGAACGTGGTGGGCATGAGCAATGCCAGTGTTGCCCTCACCGTCCACTGTGAGTGGTTGCCATTGTGGAGGGTGACTGTGTACCAAGGGGATGCTGGTGCAGGAGGCCGAGAGGAGGCTGAGCCAGAGCAGTGGGCCTGGTCTACTAGGAGCGGCAGAAAGACTCCTGTAGGGCAGGGCTAAGCAAGGCAGTCCTTGACTAGTAAGCCCAGAAAGGGTGTTCCTGATCCTCAGAAGATGGTGTGCCTCTAACACAACCATGTGTTCAGGATGCAACTATGTTGGCCCAAGTCTGCCTTTTGGTAAACCCGTAACAGGTCAAGAGAGGGAACCCTCCAGTTATACATCTGGGCAGCCTGGGTGAAGATAGACATCTCTTCTCCTCTTTCAGGGTGCTGGTGGGGGGCCCTTTGATTCCCTCAGTCTTTTCAGAGCTGGGTGGGGAAGAATTGGGATTCCTGGAAGGCTGGACACTCTGTGTCCTGGGCTTCATCTGGCCTCTCCCTCGGCAGACCCCCCACGTGTGGTGAGCCTGGAGGAGCCCGAGCTGCGCCTGGAGCACTGCATCGAGTTCGTGGTGCGTGGCAACCCACCGCCCACACTGCACTGGCTACACAACGGGCAGCCGCTGCGGGAGTCCAAGATCATCCACGTGGAGTACTACCAGGAGGGCGAGGTTTCCGAGGGCTGCCTGCTCTTCAACAAGCCCACCCACTACAACAACGGCAACTACACCCTCATTGCCAAAAACCCGCTGGGCACGGCCAACCAGACCATCAACGGCCACTTCCTCAAGGAGCCCTTTCCAGGTGAGGGCAGTCCGCTCCCGGGTGCACTGATTCCTTCTAGGAGCTTGGGGGCATGGGGTGTGGTAGCTTGAGAGGAGAAGCAGCGCCAACATTAACACTGTCATTGTGGGGAACCAAACACACGTTGGAGCATATTCAGCCACCACTAGCGTTTTGCGTAAATTAGATAAAGTCTCTGTTTTCCAATTGCTATCACAACACAAACCAAGACCCTCTCAGAAATACACAGATGTGCATATAAGGGCATACTGTGTTATGGTAGAGAAATCAGGGACTTGAGAGTTGGACAAGAATGATGGACAATCTTGACCGGGACCTTTATTTATTGGGAGACTGTGGGCCTGAAAGTTGGCTTTTTTGAGCCTTAATTCCCTTATCTGTGAAAGGGACATGACTGTACCACTCCCTTAAGAATCTTGTGGCTTTTAAATGACTTAGGTGTATAAAGCATATGTCACAGGGTTTGGCATGTAATGATGGTTCCATGACCTGCCATTGCAGGGGGCTTTGGGGTCCATCCTGTTCAGCCCTACATTTAACACGAGTGAACTGAATGAACCTCTTTCTGCTTGCTGGTCGGTAGCAAGACGTGGCTCGAATCTAGGCACCCAGGGGCGTGTCTCCCTTCCTGTCTTGCTCCTGGTGAGCTGATGGAGTGGTGACTGATGCTCTCAGCCTGTGATGGTACCAACGTCAAGTGGCGCAGGGGTAGCCTTTGGAGTAATGAAAAAACTTTGTTTGACGGGATTTTAAGAGGAGATTCTGTCTTTCTCTGTCTGGGCCAGAATATTTCAAATACCTTCCTGAAGTTGAAGGAGAAGAAAACACCAAAAGAGCTTAGTGAAAATGGTGGCAGAATGTCTTGGTAGATTCAGCCATTGACAAGTTCCTGTCAGTGAGGGCCTGGATCTTTGATGACCTTGGTGATTTCTGCTGGAAACAGAGTGGATGACCTCTTGGCCTTCAATCCCCAGATCTCAGGGGTTTTGAGGACATAAAGGGGGAGTGTAAAGACAGATATGACACAGAGACACTCACACAGAAAGGAGGGCAGTGTGAGCTGGTGCTAAGCAGCATCTGCTTGTGTGAAGGCAGCTTCACAGCCTAGACGACCAGGGGGTGGCACCTCCAGGAGAACTTCTTTATCTTAGTGCAAGGAAACTCGAATTAGAGGCTCCAAGAGTGAAATTCTGGAAAAATCAGGCTGCACGTGAAGCTAAATTCCTGCCACTGAGGTCCAGGGGATGATGGGGCCATCATTCACAAGAGCATCGAGAGCTGCTGATGTTTGAGACCCTCACAATGCCCTGAGGTCCAGCATTTCCAACGTCATCCCCAGGATGCCCAATAAAAGGCCTCAGAACACTTCCCACTGTGGGCCGTGTGGGGCTCTTGTGGGGAGCTAGGAGACTCCTAGCCACACTGTGGATGTAGAGATTTGCTCTCACAGCCCACAAAGTCAGGCTAGGCTTTGTTGGCAAAAAGGGCTGGAGTGGCCCTTCGCCCTGCCTGTGCCCACCTAGTGATTTGAGAATGACTGCTGTTTCTTAAAGAGGAGGGTCCAGACCTCTCAGTGAGTGAGGAGTGGAGCCCCCTGAAGCAATGATTCTGTTTCCAAAGGGAGGCTCCTGGGGCCTGGAGGGAGTCGGGAGCCATAGAATGCTCAGGAGGGAGGATGAGCCACTCTAGGATACTCCCCACAGAGCATGTCCTGAGAGCCATGGGGCAGCAGGAGTTGGGGGCTGTGTGGTAGGTGCAGCTTTTTCTGCATCTGCCCTGCCATATAGACACCTCCTCTGTTCCCACGAGCACAGCAGCTCCTTCTCATAGTCTCTGGATACACTCCTCACCTTATCAACACTTTGTAGGCCAGCGGTTCTCGAAGGGTGGTCCCCGGACCAGCAGCATCTGCATTACTTGGGCATGTGTTAGAACTCAAATCCCCAAACCGCACCCAGGCCACTGAGTCAGAAACTCTGGGGTGGGGCCCAGCGGTCTGTGTTTTAACAAGCCCCCAGGAGACGCAGGTGCTCCCTGGTTTGCCATCCGCGGCCCTGGCATTTGGTGGCCTCTGGCCTCAGAAGGCAGGAGGGAGGGTGAAGTCACAGTAGAGCCTGAAGTGGAACAGCTCACCTGAAGTCATTTGCTCAGACCCATCTACACCCGGCTGGGGTCACCCTGGCAAAGGTTTGCTTGTTTATAGAGGAATCAATGGATGATGAAAAGGCAGTGACAGGGAAAAGGGGCCGGTCGTGTCAAGTGACAAAATGTCTAAATGTTCAGGAGAGTAAATTATCTAGGAGAGCAGGCAGTAAACCTCTCTCCTCCTGAGCCTTGGAGATAAAGGCGGTCTGGATTCCTGCTCTTCTCCTCTGATGTGGGGGTGGGGGACATCGTATTGATCATAGCTACCCCTCTCTGGCTCCCGGGCAGCAGAACATAGAGGTTAAGAATAAGCTTTCTGAAATCAGACAGACTGAGGTGCAAATCTCATCTGTGGCACTACCAGATGGGTGGCCTGGGCTCCTGGAATGGGGCTCAGTACCTGGTTGGCACACAGCAAAGGACAATCACTCTCTGTGCCTCTGGTTCTCCATCTGTGAAATGGGAGTGATCACAAGAGCTCCTGCCTAAACCGCCATGAGGATTCCACGAAGTGACGTGTGCCAAGGGTTTAGTTCTGTGTCTTCAAAGCTTCAGCAGCTGTTGGCTGTTAGGTCCTAGGATTCCTTGGGTGGAGAGAGATGCGTTCAGGAGCTCTAGAGCCAGGCATCAAGATCTTCTCAAGCTAGTAAGCTCTAAGTCTCGGGGCGGTTTCGTCTGGGGTAGTGGTTGTGCAGCCACATTGCCAGGTTCAGATTCTCTCTCAGTCGCTCGTCAGCCTCTGTGCTCTCAGGCAAATCCCTCAATCCCCTGTTTCTACCTCAAAGGTGTGGTACAGATTAATTCACATACAATGGATTAATCCACCTACAGTATTTACAACCATGTTTGGCATGGAGTAAGCACAGAATTACGGTTTGTTTTTAATTTTTTTTAAAGAATATCTAAGGGTGACTGGAAGGGGATCTGTTTTGGGGGGAAAACAGAGATCTGAAGATGGGGGTCTCCTTTCCTCCTGTTCATGGGCCTGAGACCCCTGGGAGAGATTTGATTAGAATGAATATATTTAAGGGAGCAGCCTGCAAACGCAGAGGCTTCCTTCAGTAAGGATTTTCTCAGGGTAGGACCTTAAAATGAAAATGTTCTAGAAAATGTGCATGCTGTACAAATGTTGGTATTTTCTTCTCCATTTCCAGAGAAACGCTAGAACATTTAGCGTGGCATTCAGCCTTGGTGTAGGAGGCCCCTGGAAGGATTGATTAGGGAGATTTGTTCTAGAAGCATGAAGCTGAATCCTCTTTAGTGTTCTAGGACCTCAGAGGGCCTGTCAGAAGGGATCTGAGTGTGAGAGTGGGAAGCTATGAGGAATTAGGGATCCGAGTGTCAGGAGGGGAGGGGCGGGGGTGGCTGAGGACCGTGTCAAGGTGGGAGGTGTCCTGGAAGCCTCTAGTCTGCGGGAGAGTGTGGAGCTGGGGACCCTTAGATGATGATGTGATAGAAGGAGGAATGTTGCCAAGGGGTGTGTGTGTGTGTGTGTGCACGCACACACACACACACACACATGTGTAACAAATATCTGGGAAGACTTGCCAAAATATTTAGGAATAAGTGAGCTGCCATAGCTCTGGAGCAGCCTTCCCCCTCCCTCCTCACGTCTAAAGCCAGGGCACCTCTTCTCATCATCACTTCTCGGTCCTCCTCTCTCTGTTGGACACAAGCTGTGTCTCTCTCTCTTCTCCCTTCTCTGGACCCCACTGGATTTTCCCATAGGGCACTTCTGGGGGAATTTGGGGACTGGAGGAGACCGTTGTCTCCATTGCCCAGTCCTGGTTCATGTACAGATAGCGCCTTGGCATACTGGTCCAGTGGTCCTCCCAGCCTACTGGTGGAGGTCAGAGGTGGGGATGATTCCTGGGTACCATCCTCTTCCAGTGCAAACGTCTGAGTCCCCCGCACGGGTTAGAGAGGACCCAGAGTTCTCCCTGTCCCAGGGCTCATGGGCTTCCTGGATGCATCAGGGTTTGCAGGCTCTAGCACAGGAGCTAAGCATGCATGCAGACTAGGAGATTACAGGGTTCACAGACTCGGCCAAAGCATTTGGCAGATGTGAGAATATTCTCTAATAAATGGGAGCCTTATGAGAAATATGCAAATCAGTGTAAACTACGAATCGATCTGGCACCTCTCTTTTCTCGGGCTCTGAAGCCAAGGCTAGAACTCCCTCTCTGCCATCTTCCCCCCAAATCAGGCATTTGTTCACCTGAAGTTTAGAAGAGGGTGGTGGCATGAAGGCCTGCTCAGGAATTTAGAGAACGCTCTGCTGCTGTCCCCCAAAACAACGCAAAATGGACAAAAACAAGCAGCCTATCAACAGTGCATTTACTGTAAACGGGACTTGCTCTGAAGTCCTGTGCATGATGCTTTCACAGACAGCATCCTTTTCCCCACAGAGGGAGAAGAATATTTTCTGCTTCCTACTTCACAGAGCTGTGATTATGATGACTGTGGGGGCTCAGCCAAGGACCTGGTCAACAGGAGACCCAGAATGAATGAAGAAATGAATGAATGGATGGTTCTTACTTTTCAGGGTGTGGTAGGCTTGTGGCAGGAAAAGGTGTAGTATAATGCGGTGATTCTCAAGGGGACCAGCAGCATCAGCATCAGCTGAAAGCTGCTTAGAAATATCAATTCTCATGACCCACCCCGGACGTCCTGAATCAGAAACTCTGGGGTGAGGACCGATACCCTATGTGTTGTTTTATTTTTAATTTTTAAAGATTTCATTTTGAAATAGTTTGCGATTTATATGAAAAAGTGACAAAACAGTATAAAGAAGTCCTCACATCCTTCACCTCGACATAACCACAATACAATGATTGAAATCAGGCTGTTAACATTGATACAGCACTATCATTGCACCTACAGGCTTTATTTAAATCGTTTCGGTTGTCCCACTGCTGTGCTTTCCTTCTCTAGGATCCAGCCCAGGGTTGTACATTGCAGTTAGCTACTGCGTCACTTTGGTCTCTGTAAATCTGGGACAGTTCCTCAGCCTGTCTTTGTTTTTCACGATCTGTGCACTTTCTAAGAATATTCACTAGTTATTTTGTAGACTGTCCTACAATTTGAGTTTGCCTGGTGTTTTCTCGTGATTAAATTCCAGTTATGCCTTTTGGGCCAGAACTCCACAGAAGTGGTGCTGGGCCCTTTCAGGACATCTTATCAGGGGACACTTGATGTCCTTACATCTCGTTACTGGTGATGTTAACTTTATCGCTTGCTCAGGCTGGTGTCTGCCAGCTTTCTCCACTGCAAAGTGATTATTTTTCTCTTTGTGATTAATAAGTATAATGTTTTGAAACTTTGTAAATATCTTGTTTCTTATTCCATCACACATTAATTTTAGCATTCATTGATAATTCTTGCCTGAAACAATGATTACTGTGGTATTTGTCAATGGCAACTTTTCTATTTCCCTCATTCCTTCTACATTTATTAATTGAAATTCTACTGTAAGGAAGAGCTTTCTCTTCTCCCACTTATTTACTAAATTACTTATTTATATTGGTGTGGACTCATGGATATTATTTTTTTTTTGGTCCTATGGCTTGTAATCCATGTGTTAGTTTGCTAAGACTGCCATAAGAAAGGACCAGAAACGAGGTGGCTTAAACAACAGAAATCTATTTTCTATCTGGAGGTTAGAAGTCTGAGATCAAGGTGTGGGCAGGGTTGGTTCCTTCTGAGCCCTCTCTCCTTGGTTTGTAGGCGGTCGTCTGCTCCCTGTGTTTCCACGTGGTCATCTCCCTGTGTGTGTGTGTGTGTGTGTGTGGCTTAATCTCCTCTTTTTATAAGAACACCAGTCATATTCAATTAGTGCCCACCCTAATGACTTCATTTTAACTTAATTACCTCTTTAAAGACCCTATGCCACATACGGTCATATTCTAAACTACTGGGGGTTAGGACTTCAACATATGAATTTTGTGCAGATCTAATTCAGCCCGTAACAATCCATGACTATCATTTCATTATTTATTTTGTTGCCCAAACTGTCCCACATTTGGCCATTGGAAACTCTTTCACGTTGGCTCCTGTGTCCTTTCTCCATGCCCCCATTAATTTTTGAGCACTTTCTTACTTTCTAGTACCACAAGATGGTCCAGGCACATCTTGTACTTTCTTTGCCACAGCCTGAAATTATACATTTCTCCAAGGAGCCCTCGTTTCTTTTATTGGAGAAGGGTAGTGATCACCCTCTAGATGATTCCCGTGCATGCTAAAGTTTGAGGATCTCTGACAGAGTGGATAAGAGCCAGACTTGGGTTTGAGTCCAGCTCTATCCCTTCTTAGACGAGTGAGATTTGATTAGTTACTTAATCTCTATGAGCCTGTTTCCTTATCTGTTAAATGGGGCTTGTGCTACCTACCTCCTAGGATGGCTGTAAGGATTGAGTGATGTATTCGCTAGAGCATTTAGCACAGCCCCTGGATCATAATCACTGTCTAATAATGCCAAGCTTTCATTATTAGGTGACCCATCTCTAGAGGCCAAAGATCAAATGTCACATTTTCATCTGGGGGCTGAGCAGGTTCTGGAGGAATTCCCAAGAAACATGTCAATGACTTACTAGAATAAACTTTACATATGGATCTGAGGAATTTTGTCTTGAGATCATAGCTGGCATTTTTAAGAAAGGTCTGGGGAAGCCTACGCTGAAACATCTCTTCTTGACTCTAATGTCCCACCAAGATGCCCAGAACTCTGGGTACCCAGAGAAAGGAGGACTGTGGGACAGACATGGCGTCTAGGTTTAATCCCCCATCTCAGTTTGGTTTCTAGTCCCCAGGTGGGCCAGGCCGTCTCCCTTGAAATCAGCAGCTTCATGTCTTATTTATTCTTCATTTGGAAGACCACTTCCTGAAGAGGTAGTATAGCGTGAGGGTGGGGCGACAGGCCAAGGATTTTAGTTTTCAGTTGCTGGGGTACCAGGGGATCCTGATCAGTGGGGGATGTCGTTAGGAAGATACAGTGCATCTGTCCTGGGTTTTATTACATTTGTTAATTGTCTCTTTGTCTTTTTTGCAGAGAGCACGGATAACTTTGTCTCTAGTAAGTTTGCTTTACCTTTTGCTTTGAAACTGATTTATTCTGATACTTTTGGTAACTTTGGGATCCAAATAGCCCTCTTTCATATGCCAGCACCATCCCCAGACCCACAGCAGCTGAGAGCATCTGAGTGAACTATGAAAGGAACTGGAGAGTAGAAATTCTCCTTGGGTGGCCGCTCTGTGCCTCAGTTTCCCCCAGGGAGCTTTCTAGGGTCTGACCATGTGGTGAGTCTTCTTTCCTGGATGGAAAGGGGTCATGTCAGGAAGGATGTGGAGTTTCACATGCCCTGGTAGGCTCTTGTTTGATCATCTCAGTTGTTTGTGAGGAGAGAATGTGGAGTCTCCATGCTTGCTAATATTTCTCACCTGCTCCAAGGCCCCCAGAATTTGGCTTGGACTCACCTCATCTAGAGCTGTGATTTACGAGGTCTCCTGATAGGCTCGTGTGTCCTCAAATGGGATTATTGAGGCTCAGTTTATAAGCAGTTTGGGGCTAGGCAGTTTGGAGCTAGACAATGACAAAAGGATTTTGATGGCTTGCTCACGGGCTGTGGGAAAACCCAAAACCCATATTTATTCCTTTTCTTTTTCTCCCCCATGAGAAGATCACAGCAGTAGTTGCTGCCGTTTCTACCCCCTGTGTGGCCTGAGATAGTAGACAGTCCTGTTTAGGGGACCCCTTGCTGTTTGGCACCGATGTAAATATCACCTGTGATTCCTTTATTTGTCCTCAGTCCTAGAGGACTTGTCATCTCACAGAATGTCCTTCCAGAGAATTCTGAATTGGGGCCATCTCTCACTAAGGAGGTGATTTTAGATGGAGGACAAACTGATACTTCCCTTTCCATCCAGGTTTTGCTGGGAAAAGCTGGTGTTTTCTGGTCAGATGAAATTGCTGCTTAACTTGAGCCGCCATTGTGTTCTGAAATCCACGTTAGGGAATGGACAGTGAGTTGTTTATGGGGCCACGGGCCTCCTGGACTCACTGATGGGTGAAGAGGGAAAGAGGAAAGAGCTGGAAACAGGCAATGGAGTGCTCACAACAGAGAGTAGCAGAGGATCAGCAACAGCTGCCATCACCAACAAAATGTGCTGAATCCAGACCCTGGCCGGGATCCCAAAGCATTTTTCTCCTCTTTTCTATCCAGTAGCTCATGGCCCATGTTGCCCAGGTGTCATGATTTACTCTAGGATGGGATAGGAAGATGGGAATGAAAGTCCTTTATTCCTTCTGAAGCCTGCCCTTGGGCTGTCAGCACTGGCTGGGCGGCTGGACAGGGACCTGGTCTCTGGGGACCCCTGCAAAGTGGGTGGGGGGGGTCAGGCAGTAAGAGTCTGGCTTTAAAGGAATGTTCTCCAGCAAGAACTCTCGAGGGGGCATGGGAGTCAGAGGGGGACTGTGGCTGAGCCTCCCGTAGCCAGTAAGCTAACCACCTTCCTCCTTCTCTGTTTGGTTTTCAGTCTACGAAAGCCCCACACCTCCTATCACTGTGACCCACAAGCCAGAGGAAGACACTTTTGGGGTGAGTCCCTTCTTGGTCAAGAGGAAGGTGTTTACTGCTGCAGTCATTTTCAGACTTCCTTTGAGTAGCTAACTTTCCCAAATACTGCCTTACTTGGAACCCCGGTAAGAAGCCGTGATGAATGACCTCTTTTCAGGTGGTTGAAACCTTCCTTGTTTGATGAGAATAATTCATTGTTTGAAGAAGTCTTTGAGGATGTGCTCCCAGCCTTAGGGTCTGGAAGAGAACAGTCTGAAAATCCCCACTCTGGTGTGCACCTGGCTGGGCCTGATTCAAAGCGGTGTCTAACTGTACCATCCTTTTACAAAAGTCCAAGTTATCTGGAGCATCTCCTTGGGTGGGTTTTTCAAGCTGCCTCCCCCTGCCTGGCTCTCAGAGCCTGAGATTTCTCTGGGGAGGGGAGCAAGGGGGTCTTTTTAGAGACCAGATCTCCTAGAAGCTCCTGGATAAGAATATTATATAAAGAGTTTCAATGTGAAGAAGCAGAATTTGCTTGCTAATTAAAACAACAAAACAACATATAGAAGCCTTTCTAGGCTTTCTCTTGCATCTCTTGGGATGGCCCCCAGAGGAGAGGGGCTCAGAACACTGAATCACAGAACTTTCTCTAATCAAGCTGGGTAATTTATTTTTTTAATGTTCTTAGGGTCTCATAAATGACTTTTTCTAAAGACTTCACTCAGTGGCAAAGTTCTGAGAGGGCTACAGTTGCCCCTGCAGTAGGACTGTTCTAACTTGGGCACACACGTTACCTTGTCTGGCTCTCGGGTTATCTGTGACTGTTCTCGACTTTCTGTGTTTGCCTCTTCATAGGTGTCCATAGCTGTTGGACTTGCTGCTTTTGCCTGCGTCCTGTTGGTGGTTCTCTTTATCATGATCAACAAGTATGGTCGACGGTCCAAATTTGGAATGAAGGGTAAGGTGGGATTTTCATTTGCAAGGATCTCATGGGGGAGACATGGTGGCTTTTGATTACACGATGCTGTTTTAATCTCCCTTTGCTCTCTGAGAGGGCCTCTGGTAGCAGACTTAAGTGGTCCTGGAGGAGAATCCTGTCTACACTTTTATTATTGGTTAATGATGGATTGAAGGCAGTGTTGGTATCTGTGGGGACCAAACTGTGAACCATCTGGTTTTGCTGTGATGGCTGAAAACGCTGCTTAGCTGGGCTGGTGCAATGAGGATAATCTGAGGAGGAAATTGGATTTGAGAACAAATGAAGAGGACTTGAGTTTCTTTTCATTTTTGGTGGGTAAAGGGACTCCTTGTTTGAGTAACTTGGTTTTTCTCTTGTCTGCACCCATCCTTGGAGTTGTGATGAGAAGGAAGTAGTGTAGCTAGACGTAGGATGGTGGACTCTGGCATTGAAAAGTTGCCCATGCAGTGGTATGACAGCATGTAGCTCTACACAGAGTCCTAGAATGGATGCCAGGAGCCACAAGATTGCTAAATCTGCTGGACAGCTTCCATGACACAGAGCACTCAACCTCATTATGGCCAGTGTAGAGTATAGGATATGGCTCTTCTTGGGTGGGGGGAGTAACACCAAAGGGGTTAACATGGTTAATTAGCATCCATCTGCCTGGTCCCAGGGATGGATCTGACCAAACGGCTCAAGGGAGGCTGGGTACCACTTCCCAAACAGCAACGTGAATTTCAAGATATACTCCCAGATGGGGTTTCCACTTATGGCTGATGTTAGGTAGGAGATGGTGAAAGTTTCAACAAGCCATTAGGTTGCTGAGCTAGGATTCAGGTTGAGATCTTCCAGTGAGATTATGGGATGCAAAAAGATGAATTTCTGTGGCTCCTACACATTAGCTGGTATCTGTGGTGAAGGTTCTGACCTTGGGGCTCAAGGACTGAAGGAGAGTCTGCATGAGATTCACAGGGACAGTGGTCCCTGAACTTATATGCGGATGTTTGAGTGTCTGCACATGGTGGTGGTGGTGGGAACTGGTTTGTGGATTTTATTATATTCTCCAAAGATTCTGTGATTCCCCTAAAAGTTTAGAGCACTGATATACAGCAAGAGATATCTACAGAAGAACAGAAGGGCAGAAGACATGGGCCGACTGCTGGCTTCCCAGAAGCTTCTGCCTCTGCACTCTCTGTCTGCTCTTAATTAAACTGAACAAGTCCCAGAAAGGCAGGCCCGATTTTCTTGAATCACATGAAATATTTTGACAAAGAGAAATACGTGTGCAGGCAAATTATAAAGAAGGGATAGAAGTTTGGCCCGAAACCAGATGACTTAAACACGATCAGACCACTGTTAGGCACCTTGATTAGAGATGTTTTATCTGCCAATACTCCCCTGTGCCAAACAGGGCTTCACAAGTTTGGAAGATGAATGACCGCTGAGCGAGCTCTGAGCCATTAATCTCAGCATAATCTTTGGGCTCCTGGCTGTGAGGACTGGCTGTAATCTTGTGCAAAGTTGTCCTACCAAGGGAGGGACCTTCTTAGGTTTTTCTCCTTCCACCTGAGAAAACATCAGGACCTCGACCAAAAGGAAGAACGGGGCCTCATTGCTCTCTGCGGAGGAGGCGTGCCACCAGCTGAGACCCTGCGACATGCTTGGCAGCACTGTGAGAGCAGATTTTCCCTATTAATTGTCATCCAGTCCCTGGAACACTGTGTCCCCATGTTGGATGCATTAGGCAGCACCCAGGGCAGAGCCTTCCCCTCAGCTGTCCTCGGAGCCTCTCCCAGCCCCCGCTCCCCTCTCCTGGGCTGAGCTGCCTTCTTTAGCCCTGCCTGGGCCAGGGGACCATGTCCCCATAGGTGCAAATGAAATAGCCCCTGTTCTAAAGTCAGGCTACCTAAAGGAGTTCGGCTCAAGTTAGAGGCAAGATGAGATCGCGTATCCATGGCTGACGTGTTTAGAATTAAGTCTGCCTCTCTCGGATCTTTATTAGGCCTGATTGTGTTTAGGTCTCATCTTAGGATGGAGAAGCAAATGCCCCAGGCTGCATGCACCCTTGATCTTTTACTGCTAATGGGCGTCCCACGCCAGGAAAGAGAGTGAAGGTGTGGGTACCGGAAGTCCCCAATTCGGACTCAGGCAAATCTCCATCTCTTCATACCCATCCCATCCTCAGCTTTGAATTTTCAAATTTGGGTTAGAATCTGTGATGCCACTTAATTGCTCTCTGTTTTAAGCAGGGTTATTTAACTTCTCGCAGCCTCTGTTTCCTTGGCTTCAAAATGGGAATGATACCGCCTACCCATCGGGTTGCTGTGAGTGTTGAGATCTGTGTGTGCTGTTGGCACATAAAAGGCGCCCCATGGTTGGACTTTTCTCCTTCTTTTCTTTGTGTATAAGTCTTTCCAGTATCTTTTTGTTGTCCTTCCATGAAGGGTTACCTTTCCAAGACTCAGTCATGCCCTCTTTTGTCCCACATAATATTTAGTAGAAATTTGCTTTTCTTCTACGCTAATCCCAGTGCATTATCATTATTTTGCTCACACATCATCTGTCTGTCCTGCTAGCCCAGGAGCCACTTGGCAGAAGCCACGGATCACTCAGCTTTGTACGTCAGACTTCGCACAGCGTTTGACAAATCCTTGTTGAACTTAGAAATGAATGACTTTATTTAAAAAAAGTACAGCTGGTAAATCAATAATGGGCTAGTTAGGACTGATTTGGAAATCCAAGGTGTCTGGGCAGTGGAAATAGAATGGGGATGATGGGGAGAAACTCATAAATAATTCCCATCATCCGCATCTGAGGGCCTGGATCACAGCGTGAGGATGAGGGGGAATTACGAATATGATCTTTACTTCCTTCTGCAAAGTAAGAAAATGTAGAAAAATATGAAGATTATTACGACAAATACTCATATTCCCACCATTCATAGCAAGCAATACATTATATATATATATATATATATATATATATATATATATATATATGTTTGTTTTCTTTTCTTTGTTTTTTACAGGTCACCAATTGCATTTATTTGCAGACATCTAGAAAACAATCAAAAGTCTATATATCTGTATGTATTGATCTTATTAATAAATTGCATTTGGGCAAGAGAACTTGTGCCACAACAGTTTTAACCAGCCTGATTAAAGCCAGCAGCACTCCCAAGAGTGGTCACAGATATGCACACTATGTGAAGAAATACGTACATATATATGTATGCATATTTATGTATACATATGTGTGTACATTTACGAAATGCATTACTTTAGGTGTGTTTTAATTTACAGACATGTTTATCCTCCTAGTCTCCTTCTGCATCTTGCTTTACGTACTTATGTGTCAGCGATCTCTCCACATTGATGTGGGTAGACATCCTACTGGACGCCTATATGACGGGAGATGAGTATATTAACTGGATTTTATAAAAATGAACTGAAAAATGAATGAAAATGCATTGTCTCAAACACCTCTTTCCTTTTACCAACTGCCATCTTGTTGATTACAGTTTTGGCTTGGGGAGGGGTCACCTTAGGATATGAGCTCATCTTCTCTTGGAATCACGAAGCTTTCAAAATGGTTCTGAGCAGATGGTGGGTGTTTCTTTGGGCTCTTGAGGAAGCCCAATGCCTTAGAGCTGCAGGGGTGATCTTTAAAGCATTTGGTGTGGCGTGAGCACTGACCAGTCAGTACAGAGCCGCCCCCTGCCTGGAGGCTCCCGCTGCGCTAGGCGTTAACTCTGATGGCTGGATCGTGGAGTGTTTGGGAGCTGGACGCTTGGGAGAGTCAGGGCAGGGGCCATTTATTGAGAGGTTCAGAAATACATAAAAATATTTCAGTCTTTTAACAAATTTTATTGTGCTAGTGCATCCTGGGCCCGGAAGTGATATGGTTCAGAATTTATACCAAGCTCGTCCTCACAAATTATTTTTAAATTAGACATCAGAAGACCGTGACAATGAGCTAGCTGGGCTCTCCAGCCTCTGTATTTACAGATGAAGAAACGGAGCTCAGAAAAGGCAGTGACTTGCTCTGGTTTCATAGTCTGGTTAGGCCTAGTGGGGTCTAGAACGCCCGCCTTGCAGTCCCACCCACTTTTCATGGCAATGCAAATGACCTGACTCCTTGGTCTTGGCTGCCCGGTCATGAAGATCCACAGTGCACCTGCCATCTTTATTTCATGTGGCTGTTAGAACAATGACCAGGTAAAACATGCTAGTATGTCTTTAAGCAATAAAACGTGCCCTGTAGTTTTCAAATAAGGTGAGTGTTGTTGTTATTTAATGGAGAAAAATAAACGTGTGGGGTTTTTGCAGCCTAGAAAAAGAGCGTACATTATTTGGACTCTTACCTTGTAACTACCTTGTAAGTATCTTTAAATACTTCTAGATTAGAGATACTGCGGGTTTGAATGCTGTCCCACTTGAACGGGGCTTTCAAAAATGCCTCTTATTAGTCCCCTTTTCTCAACCTGGGACACACCTGGCCTGGGGAAAGATGGGAACTGATGCGGGAGTCTTGCTTCCCAGGCTAAGAGGACTTCCTTTGTTCTGGACACGTTGGAAACCACATGTCAAGGCAGCGGAAGCCAGAAGGCTGGGAAGGAAGGGAGGCAAGACTGCTGCTTGGGCTTCCTGTGATATCTTAAGTGCTTCGTCAGCTCCCCCTTGCTTTACATGCTAATGGTTGGATGTGGGCTGGTGCCTCTGATGGTCCTGTGGACTGGCACGCCAGGACTGTTCTGCTATGAATTAGCGTCAGCTAACAGGCACTCAAAGTGGTTGCCTATTTGATTCTGATTGGGAGTTATTAACATTTTTTCCATAAACAGATGGTAACTGTCCTCTGAGTGGATTATAGAATCACCCCAGGGTCTTGATTTGGAGGGACTGGCTCCTGCCAAAAGATCTTGGGAGCTGCTGCCCACCTTGGATGGCCTTGTTGTCCCTCTGGTTCAACTGCTTGGTTAAATGGAATGATGAGAC